TGAAACATTCCGCGCTCACCCGTCGTCAGTACTCGAAAGCCTCGAGGCAAAAGCCAGACCATCCCTTGATGATTCTTCAGTTTCAGCTCCCTCCTTGAGACCCTTAAGCCCGGGAAACGCTCTAACGTGGTCTTCCCTTGGGGGTCCCTATGTGGTATATACTGTAATAGCCCCCCAAAACCTTATTCTGAATATTGTGCCGGGCCCACTGGAACCCTTCAAGCCCTCAATACCCTCAAAACCCTAACGCCAAACCCTTGCAACCGCTCAAGCCTGTCCTCCTGTCCCTCCTTCCCCCAACCCTATATTAACCCCTAAAATCCCTACCCAAAAGCCGAGCCCCCCAGCCGCCACCCCCCTTAAACCCTAAACCCTAAACCCTAAACCCTAAACCCTAAACCCTAAACCCTAAACCCTAAACCCTAAACCCTAAACCCTAAACCCTAAACCCTAAACCCTAAACCCTAAACCCTAAACCCTAAACCCTAAACCCTAAACCCTAAACCCTAAACCCTAAACCCTAAACCCTAAACCCTAAACCCTAAACCCTAAACCCTAAACCCTAAACCCTAAACCCTAAACCCAAATCCTTGCGCCCACAGAGGCTCCGACTTCTCAGCGGCACCCCTGTGTGGCAACCTCAGAGTTGTTGGAGCTGAGGTTGCTTTAGCGTTTAGGGTTTAGGGTTTAGGGTTTAGGGTTTAGGGTTTAGGGAATCCAATGAAGGAATTCGGTGTTTGAATCATGGGTTTCGGCGGTGTGAGGGTTGGGAGATCAGGGCTTACTTTGAGTTCGGGTATTGCATGGGCGGAAGACTGCAAGCAGGGTTTCGTGGTGTGGTTTCTCCTAAGCCCAAAATCGGGTTCAGGGTTTCGGGGCTTAGTGGAGAAGGGGGGCATTTGCGAGTCGACCCTCCCAATAGCCAAGAACCACCTAAACCCTCCGTACGGGAACCTTAATTGCAATCTCCTAAACCCGAAAACCCCCAACCCAACTCCCAAAAAACGAAGCAAAGCAGCTGTGCTTCGAACATCCCCACCCTCTCCAGGGATTATTCGGGATTGTCTTCTCCGGGGTTGGGCACTCCAGGAATCCCCAAAACATTCTTTGGGGTTGCGTGCCGGGAGACCCGGCCTGGACAAAGACCAGGCTAGGAGTAACTGAGTAGACAAGCCGAGGAGTGGAGCGGACAATAGCTGAGTTTTGAAACTCCAAACCCCACACCGAGGGCGGGCAAAAGCCCTGAGCCTCAACTTTAAACTCCTAAACCCCCAAAAGCCCCCAACAAAAAGCCCCAAACCCGAAACTTTCAGATCTCTCCTCAATCCTTTACTTGCCGTCGCCGGGGGTTTAGGGTTTAGGGTTTAGGGTTTAGGGTTTAAGGGTTTAGGGTTTAGGGGTTCAGTTCCTGACCCGGCGTGCCAGCTGACGGTAAGCATCTGGGCTTGACATGAGGGGTTCAGGAATGCCGTAGGGTTTCGGGTATGGATCACCATGCTGGTGAAGCTGAGGTACATCAAGGGCCCGACAGAAGCGACGACGGACCAGCTGCTCAAGACACTCGGATGCGGGTCTAGGGTTTAGGGTTCAGGGTTTAGGGCGGGGTTCCCGGAGCCAACCCGGTGACAAACCAGCTAGAGTGCAGCCGCCACAAGATGACTGTTGTATGGCAAGCTTCTGAAATTCGGGTCGTTTTGGGCACTGAACATCAAACACCGTTTTTCAGGGAAGTACATATGCATCGGTGGTTCGACCCACCTACTTTTGATCACAAAGACGATGTCACATAGGGGCCAAACGCCGACGAGTAGAGGCTTGATACCAGCTAATCGTAAAACCTGCAAAACCTGTTAGGGTTTAGGGTTTAGGGTTCTATGAGTTCTGAGTTATGAGCCCTCACCCCCTCAACCCCTGAACACCTCAACCCCCTCCCAAGCCCCAAGCCCGCTTGCTATCTCTCCAAACCCCCGTCTATAGTGTCCTGAGGGCTTATGTTTATGTTTGCCGAACTACGCAAACCCAAAAAGACATTCAACATATCCGTTCAAGGGTGGTTCTACCGGGGGTTTACCACTAGTACCCTCTTAAACATGAAAGCCGCTTTCTACCTCCTTAGGGTAGTCACATGGTGCCTTAATTGGGGAACACTTATACCCTAAACCCTAAACCCTAAACCCTAAACCTTAAACCCTAAACCCTAAACCCTAAACCCTAAACCCTAAACCCTAACCCTAAACCCTAAACCCTTAGCCAAGGGAGCTGGAGGGTGCAAAGGCAGCTGGAGGCTGGAAAGCTGGCTCCTTCGAGGCCTCCTCAGGAAGAACTCTCTGTGGGTTTAGGCTTGGGCCCGAGCCCTAAACCCTAAACCCTAAACCCTAAACCCTAAACCCTAAACCCTAAACCCTAAACCCTAAACCCTAAACCCTAAACCCTAAACCCTAAACCCTAAACCCTAAACCCATAAACCCTAAACCCTAAACCCTAAACCCTAAACCCTAAACCCTAAACCCTAAACCCTAAACCCTAAACCCTAAACCCTAAACCCTAAACCCTAAACCCTAAACCCTAAACCCTAAACCCTAAACCCTAAACCCTAAACCCTACCCTGGCTGGGGGTTGAGGGTTTAGACTCTTGCACCTCAGGCCCTAAACCCGAAACCCGAAGGCACAAGCCTCAAGACCGAGAGGCCAATTGCCTGAAGCAAACTCCTCAAAATGCCCCCCCCTAACCCCAAGGTGCCTTCTTAGCAGCCTTGCAGGAAGTTCGGGCATGAGATTCCCTTTATCCCCAGAAAAAAAACACCGCAAAGAGAGAGCTGGAGAGGAAGAGAGAGAGAGAGGGAGGGAGACAGAGAGAAACAAGGAGAAGAGAGAAAGCGAGAGTGTGTGTGTGATGTACGCACACATCTATATAATGTATATATATATATATATTTATATTTATATGTGTGTGTATATGTATATAAAAAGATACGTGGATTTCAAACTATGAAGTTTAGGAAACCTTTCCGTAATTCCACTTTAAGAACCATTACCCATACTACCAGATACTTGGAACGCTCTTTTCTAAGTATCACTTGGTGACCCTTTTGGGTTAGTGCTCGGAATTCTGCCCCGAGCCCTAGACCGTGAGGACTTGGAGTTTAGGGTATTCCCTGCGGAGGTGCGAACCCGAAAATCCCGTAACCCTGAAACCTCGGCCTGTTTTTTGAGCTTTGAGGTTTCTCTGGGCCCCGCAACGGAAGGGTATCTCACAGAGAGTGAAAGAAAGTCAGACAGAACGATGATTAAGAAATAGGGCTAGGGGCTCAGCAGGACCTATCAAGCCCTAGACCCTCAGCATTTCTGGCTGCAGCTGCGTGTCTGTGCAACCAAGCCTTGGCAAACGATCGGATACGCAACCGCTTACTTGAAACTTTAAACCCTATAAGCCCTAAACCCTACAAAGCGTGGCTATCATTTGGCAGGGTTCCGCAGAGACCTTGTTCCCCTACGCTGCCGCCCCGTAGTGCGTGGCCAGATGGGTGCCAAAATGAAAAGCGGCGTTGCCTGGGGACCCTAAAAATTGGGGTCATATGCCCTATACCACTACAATTCCTTTGAAGGTACACGAACCACAAACCCTTTTGGGGTTCATGTGGTCCTCGAAGTTCAGGGCTTGACATGCAGGGTGGGGCTAGGCTTAAGCCTAAGCTGTCTGCTGCCGCCATGGTGTGGCTGGCCATAACGGCAGATTCGTGGGACTCCGTCTGGAAGGCAGGGTTTTTTTGGAGGGGTTTTATAGGTTAGGGTTTCGGGTTTAGGGGTTTAGGGGAATTTAGGGGTTTAGCTGTTTAGGGGTTTAGCTGTTCTGGGGTTTAGGGGTTTAGCTGTTAAGGGGTTTAGGGGTTTAGGGCTTCGGGGGCCACATATCACGCGGAGCTGAGGATTCGCGTGAGCCGTTGAGACAGTTGAGCAAATGTCAGGGACTAGTTCCATCGCATGTGTTCTGCCGTTCGTCTTGCATGTCACGTTACCGAACGCATGTTCCTCTTGCATGTCACATGATTTGAAGGCATGAAAGGATACGTGGCTGTTGGGTGTTTTTTTGAAGTTTCGGTTGTCTATTGGTTCCAGAAATTGCAGCACTCTCCGAATCCACGAATGCCCCGCAGGCCGAACAGTGTCCTCCCCTGCCTGGTATTTAAGGACCAGCAAAAGGCCCTGAAACGCAACGAACTCCTCAAGCGTGTAGGATGAAAGGGCCTAGGCTGCTTTAGGACTTCTACTTTGGGACGCTCCCCCTTGTACTCACAGTCCTTAATAGGGATTATAGTACCCCCTATTATAATCCCTATTCAGGACTGTTAATACAAGGGGGAACATCCCAACTTCTACTCTGTAAGACTCTACAAAGCAATTTTTCACGAGCACTGAAGGGATCCAACTTCGGTGCGGAGTCGCTAGCCTCCCACACTTGCAGGGCACAACCATAAACCCTCTTAAACTAGGACCGGGGAATAGGCCTTTTTTTTATTTTTTTTTTAGGGTTGGGGTTCCCTTATGATCCCCTTAAAACCAAAAAAAGGTACTTTTTAATTCCTAGGTTACTCCCGGGTCTAGCTTCTCCCCCTCAAGAAAGCCCAGCAACATTTGGGGCTTGAAGGCTTTGAGGTTTGGTAGGGTTTAAGGTTAGGGTTTGGGGCGACAAGGGGTTTAGGGTGTTCATAAGGGTTCATCAGTCGTGAGCAGGTCAAGCGCCAACTGGAGGAGTTGGCGATTCCGTCGCCGGGATCTGTCCCTGGGCGATAATGGGGCTTTATGGCACCTGTTAGCAAATTCAGCCCGGAAGCAGATGGCACCCCACGTCATTCTTTTGGGGTGCTGCACACGACGGCACTTCTGCAGTGTGGAGCACACGGTTTTCTCCCAAATTCGGAAGCGTCTGCCCCAGACTCGGCAAACGCGTTCAGTTCCATGCAGTAGGTGTTTATCAATTCTCTATATTGCTTGATCAGGAAATGCTGGTGATACACCATGAAGGGGACTGGTTGAAAGGCAGGCCCTCAATCCAGGGCCCTGTCAGCCACACTCAGCTGAGGAAGCCGATCCAAACTAGGGCTTTCTTCCCATCCCATCGGACCCAGGTGTCCATCCACGGCGATGGCAAGATTTTCCTGGAGACCTCCATGGAGGCACCCAGTGTGATCCAGGGTTTTCGTGCCAGGGTGCCCGGCTCGGGTGTGAAGCAGCCATGGCGGGCCAACGCATCCAGCCAATCACACTACACTCTGTTGGGGCTCAGGGCTTCAAGAAAACGACCTCTCTTTTTTGTCGTATTTCAATGAGAAAGCGTACTGGTCTCGGCCGGTTTGCCATGGGTTTAGGGTGAAGGGTTTAGCGTTTAGGGCCTAGGGTTAACCCTACACCCTACACCCTACACCCTACACCCTACACCCTACACCCTAAACCCTAAACCCTAAACCCTAAACCCTAAACCCTAAACCCTAACCCCTAAACCCTAAACCCTAAACTCTAAACCCTAAACCCGAACTCGTAGACTCCCCCAATTTCCTGAACCCCCGACTTCGGAGCAGCTTCTCAGCTGCCAGGTGCTCCAGGAGAGGGTCGTTTGCCTCGCCATGGTGGAGAGGGTCTTCCTCTGCCGCCTGCCTCTGCGTTTAGGGTTTAGGGTTTAGCGTTTAGGGTTTAGGGGTTAGGGTTTAGGGTTTCGGGGTACCCTAAAAGGAGGGGGCGCCTGATAATGGGGACCCCACAAAAGGACCATAAGTTAGAAGACACCACATCCACTCCGAAACCGACAGCCCAAGACTCTTAGAACCTCGCCCCCACCTCAACCGTGCACACCGGTCGGGTTGTAGAGGAACGTTAGGTTGGAAGGTGTTCCGGTGGCAACCCTATTCGAGGTGACAGAAGGGAGTACCATCTGAGAATTCAGCCGGGGCTTAAGATGACGAAGTGTTCCCCCTCGCACCCCATCTCTCTCCGCATCCCTCGCCTTATACTTTCACCCTGACGCCCAAACCCCTGCCAAGAACCAGATGCACCCTAAACCCTAAACCCTAGACCCCAAACCCTAACCCCTAAATCCTAAACCGCGCGAACGCACCTAAGGTCTCCACCGGGAAGACTTGCACGAGGCACACGCCATCTGCCACCAGGGCCCGAACTATGCCCTGCTGCAGGCCGCCCTGGACCTGGATAACCCAAAAGTAGTTTCACTAAGCTCCTATTGATCACGGAGAATGCTCATAGGTTTCGAATTGTGGATTTTAAGGAGTACGTCTTTTTGAATCTGATAGGCTTCTGTATGTCAGCTTGACGGGTTTCTGCCTTCGATCTTGTAGGGATCTTCTTGCAGCTATAAGGGCACTGCTTAGGCAGGCTATCATGAAGAATCGCTTCTGAAGAATCGACGACCGTGAAGTTGGCTTAGGGTCATGAGATGTCATGAATATAGGTCAAGCGCAGCAAACAGCGAACGCAAACAGCGAACGCAAACAGCGAACGCAAACAGCGAACGCAAACAGCGAACGCAAACAGCGAACGCAAACAGCGAACGCAAGCTCCCGACAGTACTGTAAACGCCCAAACTGAACCCCTACAGTTCTTAAGCCCTGGCACCTGAAATCCCAAACAGACAATCCAAAATCCCTGAAGACCCGACAGCTGGGAGCCAATATGGGAGCGGGTTTAGGGTTTAGGGTTTAGGGTTTAGGGTTTAGGGTCAGGAATGGATCTACGCCATCGACTGGCCGGCAGTCTTCCGCATCATCGAGGCCGTCCATGGGGGCCACCGGCCTGGAACTTGGCTCCTTGGACTTGGACGTATCGGGTTAGGGTGTAGGGTTTAGGGTCTAGAGTTTAGGGTTTAGGGTTTAGGGTGTTTCTTGCTTCTTTCAGTCTTTCCTGTGGTTTGTGGACGCTTTCTCTTTAGCTGCTGGAAGATGGCGCATCCAGGCAGGCTTGAACCCAACAAGCCCGTTGCAAAGGTTGTAGGGTTTAGGGTCCGGAGCCTCAAGCGGTACTGGGTTGAAGAGAAGAGGGTTTAGGGTTCAGGGTTCAGGGTTCGGGTTTAGGGTTTAGGTTTAGGGTTTAGGGTTTAGGATTTAGGGTTTAGGGTTTAGGGTTTAGGGTTTGGGGTTTAGGGTTTAGGGTTTGGCTGTTGTTTTGTGCAACCGGTCCATTTGCGTAGTACTACTTTGGAATTCGGTACGTACCCAGAAACCATACTAGAAACGAGGGTTTTGGGGGTTCCGAATTTCATAATCGTACGAGAACTGGAGCCTCTGGATTTAGGGTTTAGTATGGCTTCTGGGTGCCTAACTCCATAAACGTACTATAAATTTACCCTCTGGGGAGTCTTGCGTCCATGCTTATCCTGGAGGATTTCGAGGAGGCATTTGTGGATGGATTGTTCTCTGGATCATTTTGGGTAAAGCCTGCGCTCTAAACCCACCCTCAACCCTAAAGTTCTAAAGCAGATGGAAATCCAACACGTCAGGCCACCTTCACTCGCGCGAACGAACCGAAGCGCAAAATGTACGCCCTGAACCCCAAACCTCCAAACCCTAAACCCCAAACCCTCAACCCCAAACCCTCAACCACAAACCCCAAACCCTAAACCCTAAACCCCAAACCCTAAACCCTAAACCCCTAGAAAGGATGCTGGACTCGAAGCGCCACGGCGCCAAGGGGTCTCCCATGCGCGCCTTCGATCGCCTGCTGATGCAGCAAAAGGCCCGGCCAAGGGCGTTTTGGGGGCTGATAAAGGGTTCAGTGGGGTTTAGGGTTTAGGGTTTGGGGTTTAGGGTTCAGGGTTTAGGGTTTAGGGTTTAGGGTTTAGGGTTTAGGGTTAGGGTTCGGGGTTTAGGGTTGTTTAGGGCTTATAAGGGCTTGCAGGGGCGACTGGACTCTTAAGTTCCTTGCATGGGACGCCTGAAACTACATGGTTTGTGCTGAGCAGGAGAGTGAAACCCTAAACCCTAAACCCTAAACCCCAAACCCTAAACCCTAAACCCTAAACCCTAAACCCTAAACCCCGATCCGCAAAGGATGACTGAGCGGAACCTCCAAGGCTTTGTACTTAGCAGTCCTGACCGAGGCAAGTTCTTATTCATTTTGCAGCCTTCTACACCTTGACTCATGCCAGGTGCGGGATGTGCTGCACGAAGTGCTTGCAGATCAAGGCTGCGCATTCAATGTTCAAATGAATCCTAAGGGGGAAGCTGGTAGAGTGTCGGCGAACTTACATGCTTGCAGGGTCCTGACAGCGTAAATGCAGTATGTGATGATTCAAACTGACCCCGGTAGGTTGCGCACATCATCCATTCAACGCCGGCCTGATGGTTTATGTCTCGTGGCTGCATGTGGACGGGGTGCATCGCGAGATTTTCGACCGCGCATTGCCACTGGTTTTGTGTGCCCAGAGTAAAGCCTGAAACCTATAAACCCCCCTAGACCCTAAACCCTCAACCCTAATTCCTAAGCCCTAAGCCCTAAGCCCTAAACCCTAAACCCTAAACCCTACACGCCGCGAACCTGCAAGGAAATCTGCCTGTAGCCCTCCATGGCTTATGAGCCCGATAGCTATGGCCCGAAATGACCCAATGCGCCCAAAACTGTCGTAGCTACCCTAAACCCTAAACCCTAAACCCTAAACCCTAAACCCTAAACCCTAAACCCTAAACCCTAGCTCATGGTGGGCCCTTTATCCACAAAGCATGCTGATAAGGAAGCCCACTTTGTTCTCTGAAAACTGAAGACCCTTCCTTCAAGGTCCGTGTGCCCAAATATCATGAGTTTAGGGTTTTAGGGTTTAGGGTTTAGAGTTTAGGGTTTTAGGGTTTAGGGTTTAGAGTTTGGGGTTTAGGTGCAGAGTATATGACGCATGCTGACGCCTTGGCGCACCCTACTTAGGCGCATGGACTCTCTTAGGAACCAAACCCTGAATTCTACACCCTAATCCTAATCCAATCACCCCCCCCTCCCCCCTCAAAACCCTAAAACCTAAACCCAAGAAACCTAAACACCTAATGCTTAGCCCGTTCCAGGTATTCCTGAGCAGCACGCTGGCCTTTGTCGGCGTGCCCATCCTTCACCGCAGGCCCCCAAGCTGCGACGAAGAAGTTCTCCTAAACCCTAAACCCTAAACCCTAGATGAATAGTTCTCGAAAGTATGGGTCCTTATTTCGGTGTCCTATCTATAGTGCGGCACGCTTAGGAATCAGGACCACAAAGACACCCCAAGGGTCGAGTAGAACTACCCTGAACCCGAACCAGGCAACTCAAGGGCCGCATTTGGGTCCAGTTTAGGGTTTAGGGTGTAGGGCTTGGGGTTGAATAGGGTTTAGGGTTTAGGGTTTAGGGTTTAGGGTTTAGGGTTTAGGGTTTAGGGCAGAGTCTTACTACAGCAGATTGAGAAATTCCGAGAGGCGTCCCAGAGCTTGTGCTTCTGCGCAGGGTGAAGCAGGGCTACTTCCCGCACAAAGGCCTGCATCACAGCGCGCCGGGCAGAAGATGGCAATGCTTTTTTCGAGGTCTTTTGGCTTTCCGAGGGGGTACTAAAGTCCTTATTAAGGACTGTGAGTATAAGGGGGAACATCCCAACCCTTCACCCGAAGGTCTTTGTAGCAAGCAACAGGTGCATCATAAAGTTTCGGGCAAGTTTAGGGTTTGACAAATTTTTGGGTTTTACAAGGTTAAGGGTTTCCGAGATTGCTTCCTTCGAAAGCTTCCTCAAGATGTACTTAGCCGAAGAGGTGGCCAGGAAGGGTTCTGGGGTTTAGGTGTCGTGTTGCCCCTAGAAACTGTTGGAAATAAAGAGCTCCATGGGAATATTACTCAAAAGACCTGTTCTGACTAACTAGCTCCCTATATTCCATGGTGCTGCTTCCCATGTGCCGTCATGCAAGGTCTCTGTGGCTTGTCTGCAAGAGGGCTGTGAACATGCCCGACCTGCCTCCCCCCCTTCACCCGGAGCCCCAAACTTTGCTCTGCGTGAATGTTGCAAGAAAACACGGAGGGTCTAGAGTATATACTCTAGGACCCGGAGTAGGCCCTTGTTCTCTGTTGTTTGGGTTTCGGTTCCCTTCTAATCCCCTTTAAGCCAAGAGGGCGTCCGTTTTATTCCTAGGTTACCCTTGGGTCTAGTATAGTATATATCTTCGCCCTCAGAACCCTTAACCCAATCCCGTAAGCCCTTGCTGTACGCAGGCAGCAAAAACCAGCCCCATGAATCACCGAGTCGTAGGGTTACCTGTAAAAAAAGCACGAAGACCCGCAACGCCAGATCCCTTGGAAATAGCCCCCCCCCCCCCCCCCCCCC